TGCTTCACGCTATTGACTAGTCACCAGAGAATATGCCTAATAAAAGCAGTTAACATGGGAAGGGCAAGGGAGATTAAAGGAAACAGGCAAAGGATTAACTGTTTCCAGTGAGCATGATCAAGCAGAAGAGTGAGTGAGGATTGCATTTCTAGACAAAAAAATGGGCTTCTGCACTGACAGAGGGATTGCTGCCCCAGAAGGTAATATACAGTAGCAATTTACTCTGTTATGCTGCTATAAAACAGAGATTAGCCCTATAAAGTTACGCAATCAAAATAAGAATTTGGGGTTTTATGGTTCTATATATTTATACTGCATCCATGACCATAGCAGCTGAAGAGCTGACTTCCTAAATCTACACATAATGGTCATAACAAAAATAAAGTTAACTCAGAATTTGTTTGTAAAATAGTATAAGAAAAACATTTTTCTCAAATGTACACATCATATCAATATGATCTGTAGTAGTACTCTGTCCAATGTAATGCAAGATTATTCAAAGCTGTGTATGACATGTTACAGGCAACACAAATTTCAATATTTAGAAATCGGATATCAATAAAAATCTGTAAGATATTGCAGCAGTGAGACAAAAGAAAATGTCTTACTTATACAATAATGTGTTTTAAAATGAAAAAAGAAAGCAACTTTGAGTGCTATAAAACTGTTATCATCCACTGAAGTCAACTCGGTAATCTCTAGCATGAGGAAGTGCCCCAAATAAACATCACCCCCTACCTCCACCCTCAATACCCTGAACTCCCTCCCACACTCCTTTCAGCCCCCAAACTCCCTACCAGAGCCTATACCCCTCACGGCCTCCTACAACCCCACTCCCTGCCCCATTTCAGAGCCAGCACCCCAGACCCTCCTCCTATACCCACATTCCCTCCCAGAGTCTACCCTTCACACCCTCCTGCACCCAACCCCCCTCCCAGAACCTGCACACTGCATCCCCTTCTGCACCCCAATTCCCTGACCCAGCCCACAGCCTGCACCCAGCAACAAAACTCCATACCAAAACCTGCACACCTCCCCCACCAAAATTCCTCCTCTGGCCTGTTGGGGGGGGGGGGGGAGGTGGGGCAAGGGTGCAAGCTCAGGGTATTCTGGACACCACTAACATTTCTGCAAACCTTCAACCCTGGGTTACACATATCCATCAATTTCGGGCCAGTGCAGACAAGGCCTTAGCAATATGTAGGTTTGATGATGGGACGGAGGGGGGAAAATAATTCCTGTAATGCCCACATTGATAGGAGCAGACAGGTATAGAAAATAATTCCTGTAATGCCGGTCACCCCCACATTGATAGGAGCAGACAGGTATAAGGATTGGGATGTAAAATCCTGTTTAATTGGTTAAACATTATGTTTAACCAGTTAATCAATTGAAGGAGGAGTGGGAAGAGGAGCCCCTGACTGTGATGGGCCCGGGGAGCTGCTGCAGCCCCCTACCGGTTAGAAGTTTACTGGTTAACCGGTTAGCCACCCTTAGTAAGGATTTAATAATTCCTCCACTTGACTTCACTCATATCATATCTTTCAAAGTGAGAAGTCTCTCCAACTTTTCCTGTAACTTCACCACTTGCATCTCACAAGTGGTCCATTTTTGTAAGGCAGTTGGGATCCCTTCCTGCTCAGTACTCTGATCCAAAGCCTAAACAAAAACTCAGTATAGTAACTCCCCATTGATCTATGGATGTCATACACTTGCACAAGCTGCTAAGGGATACTGCAAGGTAAAAAAAGGCTTGAACGGCTTCTTGGAAAGGGACAGGGGCTATGTCTACACTACAGAAAAACTCCTCCATGTCCAGGGAATATGTCTGCTCTTCTGACATTTTTTGCAGAAGAGCAGACATGCTCTTTCAGAAGCCCTGTAAACTCTTTATTTTAGTTCCAGACATCCAGCACTCTGATCATCTTAAGAAGTGGGCTGTGCCCACAAAATCTCATGATACCACCTACATGTGCTATTTTATATATATATATAATTTGACCAATAAATTACGCCCTGAGGCAAGGACCTGAAACCAAACTCAGATGTGACAAACATTCTTTTCTTGGCTGGTGAGAAAGTCAACCAACTTACACACTAACATACATGATTCTTGGTCACAACCTAGAAAAAATATATTCTGAATTACACAAGTACAACAGTACTATACACTAAAACAGTGGCTTGAAATTTTCTAGATTACTATACCACTTGCAGAAGTCTACTTTGTCTTGGGTAACCCCAAATTTCACCTCAATTATAAATGACTCGCTTATACAATCAGACCTAAAAATAGCAGTTTTTCAGAAAGTTTCTCTTTCTTACCATATAATAAATCTTCTGGACTATAAATACTGTACTTTACATTTCAGTGAACAGTATACAGAATAATATAAGCACATAATTGTCTACATTAAATTTTGGTTTGTACTGCTTTTGCTAGTGGTTTTTACAAAGCCTATTGTAGAACTATTTTGTAAGTATCTAGATGAGTTGATGTATGCCCTGGAAAAAAGCTGCAACTCAAAATGCTAAGGCTACTGTTGCCAAAACATTGACTTGGTGATTATCCTATAATTATTTAAATGGACATTATTTAAATCACAAATGAGTTTGTGGGAGTTCGGGGTGCGATCACCCCCTCTCGGCCCGAGAGGGGGGGCCTGCGAACCCTCTTGTCCCCTCTTGGCTCTACATCGACTCTCGGGTCCCTGCTATGGGGCCTCCCGATAATGGGTGCGATCACCCCCTCCCGGGAAGAAGGGGGGGGGGTCAGCGAACCCTGCAATAGTTACCTGTCTCTGCGGGGTGGGCGAAAGGCCCCCGGTTTGGGATCCCCCCTCGCGAGGTTGCGCCTTCCCTTCGTGACAGTCTTGGGGAGAGGGATGCTCCCTTAAGGGAGGGAGGGGGACCCGGTCCCACCCTCTCTCCGGGTCCCAGCCCAGGGCCCTAAGCGGCGGGGCGAGTTAACGCTCCGGCGCGGTGGACGAGTCCGAAATTCGTCCACCCATGGCCGCCAAAAGCGTCTTGCCCTGGGCTCCTGCCGATCACGCCCGGCGTCCCCGAACCTACCCTGGTTCGGCGTCCTGCAGTGCCCTGCGCCCGGATGTGGCCTCCGAGGAGAGTTCTCGAGTCCCGGTCCGCCTCTGGCTGTCCCGCTCCCTTCTGGTCCGGCGCGGTGGGGTTCGTCCACCGTCTGTCAGGGGCAGTGGCTGTCCTGGAGGCCCCGGGACCAGCGCCGGGCC